CCTCTAAACAATTTTTTTTAATATGACGTAAGTTTATCGNTGGTGAAAATATATCGCGCGAACAGAATCGAGTTTTATCGTGTGTGTAAAACGCCACGTAAGGTCAGTGCTGACGGCACAGACTTTACCTATGGTTTTTTTTTTTTTTTTTTTTTTTTTTTTTTTTTTTTTTTTTTTTTTCAAGCAAACTTGCATAAAAAAGCGACCTTGACTGCTTGTTCAAACAATTTTTTTTAATATGACGTAAGTTTATCGGTAACGTTTAATGCGCCGTGTACTGCGTCATCGAATACCGTGACATTATTTGCGCTCTCTCTCTCTCTGTCTTTTTCTAAAAAATGAATAGGATATATTTGAACGTTTCAAACGCGCGCATTTGAAAAAAAAAAAAAAAAAGCTATTTCATCTCGATTTATCCGAGTGAAAGTTATTTGCGAAGTTGCGTAATTCCCGATAGAGAGAATTTGTTTTCGGGTGGGAAGGGCGGCTTTGTTTCCGTTTCCGCGACGAAATGGGAACTACGGCCGAAGGGTTCGAAACTTTTTTTTGTTTTTTTATTCCTTTCTCGAGATTCTTTTACTTTGAGCAAGGTTTTACAGTAATCTCTGCGCGCCGAAAGATTGTGACGCTCTCGCTTTCGAAACATATCCTCCTTTCTTCCTCTTTTTCTCTCGCGCCTGTACACCGGTGCCTGTCGACCGACAGCTTCGAGCGTCGGGATAAAGTCACGAGCAGTAATTATGAACGATAGCAGGGGAAGAGAGAGGATATAATTGTGATTGATGGAGAGATGAGAAGGGAGGAGCAGGGGGTGACTTCCTTTTAATCTCGAAGCTAACCCTTTCGTTCATCCATTGCCGCTTCTGGCTGACCGACACCGTGCGCGGCGCGACGCGATTTTATTACCTCGAACTCTGTTGTGTATCTTCGCGCGGACCTCGGGTGCGGACTCGGTGGACCTCTCGTTGCGTTTCAGGAAATGCGTGACACAAATGTCAAGGAAAGTATTTTTTGCGATGTATTACAGAGAGAATACACTAGATGTACAAACACATACACACACACACGTGCGTGGCCGCAATTTAATTTTTATTTATTTAATTAAGTAACATTTTATTTTCTGTTTATGTGTTTGGAGAGAGATCCAGCGATTAGTTTGTATAAGCAGGCTTCCTATCCGACCCGACACAGATTTAGCGTGTGAGCAGGAAGTGAAAATAGAATCTCGGGTTTAATAAATAAAGCGATTGATCTCTGGAGCGCGAAACGAGAAACTGAATATTAATTACACTTGTATAATTTATTAATTGCTCACCCGTTCGCGACATTTAAAGCGAAAATAACTGATGAATTTATGGCGTAAACGGACGTTCTAAATCGTCGTTATAAAACACGAAAGAAAGCCGTGCAGCGAAGCCCGGCGTGTCCGCTTCGTACGCGCATTATCCCCGATACCTACCACCTCTTCGCGTGCGTGCGTGCGTACGTGCGTGCGTGCGTGCGTGCGTGCGTGCGTGCGTGCATACATGCGTGCGTGCATGCGTGCATGCGTGCGTGCGCGCATTCGTGTGTGCGTATTTTCTCTCTTTCTCTCTCCTCTCCTCTCCTTTCTCCGTTGCGTCTCCACTCGACTCCGCACAGTCCACGCACCAACGAGCGAGCGAAGCGGAGTCTGCGATCAATGCGTGGCACTGGCAGCGGTCGTCATAGCAACGAAGCGCGCCACGCACAACGAACGAACGATCCGCGCGTTGATCGTGCGTAAGTGCGTTCTCCGCGTGCGCGCGCGCGCGCGCGCCTGAGCGCGTACGCCACGCATACGCGCGCACTCACGCACACGCACGGAACTCTCCTGCGACGTGCCGCGCGGCGGGACTCGCGAAAGACCGCGTGCAGAGGACGATCGATGCCCCGGAAACTTCGCGACGTACTGCGAGAGCACGTGACATACGTGACCGGTCTAACATAATCATTCGAATCTTTTTGAATTGAACCTACTCGCTGCTCTCTTCATATGTAATCACAATTTTGATCTGTGTAATTAAAAAAAAAAAAACAAAATTGCAATAACAATTTCGAAAAACTTTATCTGCTAGATGCGATAAATACACGCGACAGAACTGGGAAACTGAGGTTTTGTTGCGCGAGCAATTGCTCATATACGCTGCGATTATACGTCGCTCATATACGTTGCGCTTAAACACTTTCGTAAAAAAAAGAATGTATCGAAGAAAAAATAGTGCAAAAAAAAGAAAGATGAAAATTGTCTTGATCTCTCGCAACCGATGACGCGCGGCGTCAAGACGCGGCAGATGTTTCTAACGAGCCTCAACGAGAGAAAGTATCGATCGTGATATCGTTTACGATTAGAGTCGTCTGTGACAGACGAGCGAGAGAAGATAAGACGTAATGACTTCACCGCGAAAACATTTAACAAAAACTAACACAGTTTATTTTTTTTCGTGTACTCAGAAGCGACGTGTGTATCAGTTTTTCTGATTTCGTGTGGAAGAATACCAAATGTCCTACTACTCCGATTATTACCCTATCAGAGAAGAGCAGAAAAAGAGCATTTAAACCCTTTCGGTAAGGGTAATTCAGTGGCGACCGCTACTACATCGAAGATGGCACGCGTTGGGGAGGAAGAGAGAGAGAGAGAGAGAGAGAGAAGAGAGTTGAGCGACCCCCAATTCGCTTGAACGTATAGAACCTTTGTATAGTAAGCTTCCTTACCAGGAACACGACCGTTTTCGGTCACATTAACGACCACACGAAAATGCAAGATGTTTCTAGTAGATATGACGTAATAATGATTGTCAGATTGGATTTAGTTTTAAATCTTCTACATTCTCGTACCACAAGATTGTTTTAATGAGATGATAAAGAAGTTACTTAGAAAAAGATTTCATAATTCAAAAAAAAAAAAAAAAGGAAATATCACAAGAGTCTACGTGAGAGAATAAATTTCCCAAAGATCTTTCTTTCTTCTCCTATCTCTTTCTTTCTT